TGAACATGTGAGACAGGCTTCTACTTCGACAATGTTTAAATCCAGGTTAAAATGATGTACTTTAATGATCTTTTTATGTTTTATCTGTAAATTATAGTTTTTATCTTTTTGTTGTTTTGTAATACAGTTCGAGATGCCTTGTGTATGAGCAGTGCTACACAAAAAAACTTGCCTCGCCATACACATTCTAAGAGGATATGATTAAAATATAAATCAATATCAACCGTCTATTTTGTGCTGAGAAATAAATAAATAAATAAATAATATGTTTTGAATATATTTTTATTTTTTTTGCATTTATTGATTTATTCCTTAATTAATTGCTTTATTTTGATTGAATTCATTTTGGATTTTTTACGCACTGCTACATTATTATGCTTATTATTTATTTTTTAACCCTGCTTTCATCTTTCCTTAATTTTACCGCCTGCATTATTTCCTTCACAATTTCTTTGATGAAATACAGATATAGACCTAAGCAATCGCATCAGAACCAGTGGGGGCGGGTCCTGGCTCCAAAAGGTCCATGAGCACGAGCGCTGACATACTTGCAATACCACCCCAGGCCGGTGGGGGTGTACCCGGAAAGAGAATTACTCAATGATTTTGTATGCAGTCTTCTTTCCTCTCAAAAACATTTTTACAGGTTGGTCCAAAGGTCGCTCTTGGTCCGACGCTGTACGTTCCAGGTGCTGTCAATCTTGAGGGGAGTATATTTTTTGGACCAGTCTAGTTTAGCTGCTGTGGACTTTTGAATGCACTCGTTACATACATGGGGCTAATGCCGGCTGACGCATGCGCAAATGTGTTTTTTCACATTTTTCAGCCCCGCTGCCATTTTGAAAAAGCCCACAGAAGGCAAAAGTGATGTCACATTAGTTTCAACGGCAGAGAGAGGCGTCACTACGTCCGTTATTATTTACAGTCTGTGATCAGAACAGATATATCCATACAAAGTTGACACATTATATTGACATAATGTTGGTCCTCCGTAACACACTGCATGTGCTCCGAATGTTTAGAGCCTCTTGTGGATAAAAACAGTCACAGCGGAAATGGCAGCTTTAATAACACTGGCATTTAGAGCTGGACCAAATTTAGAGAAGTGTTGCTCATGCTCTAAGAATAAAAGAGCTACCACTGCACTGCTGTTGGAAAGCGTCTCCAGCCACACCTGAAAATAAACTTTACAACAGAAAGGGAAAGTTCTCAGCATGGCCTAATTATTGGAGAAGAAGAAGAAGAAGCACTGTGGTTATGTTTTCACTGCATTATTCAGCAGCATTTTGTGACAATTTTTTTTCAACACAATCAGAGTCCTGTTTTCTGACCAGGACTGTAATGAATGATTTTTTTGGATAATCAATTAGTCATTGGATTAATTTGTCGTTTAAATGCCAAAAAGCTCAGTGAATATTGGATTTTTTAAGATATATTTGACCATAACAAAACTATGGAGGTGGGAGAACATAACCTTTCTTCTTCCCACTCCTTTTTGAGACAAACCTTGTGTAATACTAATATGTGTGGTACAGAATCTCCCTGTACGTTTTTTGTTTCGTATTGTTCTACGTTCTGTATAATTGTTGCCCAAGTGTGTGAGTACAGTGTTTGCTGTATGGTGCAGAATTTTATATTTTTGTTGGGGTTGCACTAATGCATCGACTGAAGATCAATATTGGCCGATGTTTGCCTTTTTAACTACCAATAATTTATTGACGGCAGGTGCGAGCGAATAGATACGAGTAGACGGCTAAACTTGTGCATTTTCCTCAGTAGAAGAAACAAAGTAGATATTTCACAGTATCAGAAAAAGATCGGCAAGATGCAGTTTGCACAAGTTCAGTGAGATTTCAAGAGGGAGGTATGTTAGAAAATCATTTAACACAAAGAATCTCATTGGACATATGAGAAGCCGAAGGCGATGACAACAGAAAACTGAAGCCACCAAGAATTACCAATATATACTGTATATATAACAACAACAAAAAACATCGGCCAAGTTGTTATGTAGATATCGGTATCGACCCGAAACTTCACAATCGGTGCATCAATAATCGTTATGACTCGATTAAAAGTATTCAAATTGAAAGCTGAAGTGATGCCCCTCGCAGTTGCTCTAATGAAGTAACTTTATACCACGTTTGCATTTGTCAAATTAGCATATTGCACGATACTTTTTTATTCCCAAATATTGAAATTGTTTAGGAACAAGTTGGTGGCTGCTCTCATTTTGGCCATGGATCTATTCCTCGCAGCCACAGCAGTCTGTGGGCTCGTTTTTGCAAATGTCAAAGTGGAGACATTTGGAGAGTGCATTTAATGTTGTGTGTGATTGGAAATGCATGATTTATAGTATGAATGGAGATCTCCCAGAAGAAACTCCTCAAAGTATTAGTTCATCATTGTTGACGAGTTAACATTTATACAGTTTTTTCGACTTAATTTACGAGATAAAAGCAACCAGGGTATATGGGACTGAAATTGAAAATCCTCCTATATACTGTAACTTTAATATTGGTTAGAACTTCATTTTTGGGTCAGTTTCAGCTGGTGGTTTCTTTTCAATTAATTATATGTGCCATGGCTTTAAAAAGTCGGGGAACACGTGTCTACAGTAAACAGAAGCGGTGGAATGCGTAGCGGATTGGGATTATTGGCAAGTGTAGCTTTAAAGGAGAAATATGTAAAAATGTGGCACTGCACTATCTCTGACTAAAGTTTCCAGATATGCAGAGAAATCCAGCTGGGACCATACAAGCAGAAGAGTTTTGACAACAACACATCTATAACCAACACCTTTATCACAAAGATAGAAATCCTGGTTTTATTCCTTGTTTTGTCGTTAATTATATGGATTTGAGAATCATAACGAGACCTTTTTTAGATCTGCGCCACATGTTACTTTACCAGTGAGATTAGCTCGACATGGTGAGTTTTGGCAACCTGGATCACGGACTTTCTGATTGGTGAAACGGTGGAGGGCGGGACATTGAAATGAAAACAACAAGATTTTGGGGCTGTAAAACTAATCTTGAAATCCAAATATCTCTGAACTATAGTTATCAGTTAAAGAAGTATTTGAAAAGAGCACGTTTTATTAATGCCTTTTTAACAGATTAGGGGCATTAAAGGATGACTTGACATGAAAATCTTACATATTTCTACTTTAAGTACAATCATGTCTCAAATTTGATACAAGTTTAAGTTTTAAAATGTGCCAAACACAGGGACAACTCCATCAAACTCAACTTGCAATACCAGTATACTGTATATGTTTTTAGATCCTTTCCGCCCTCGACAACACATGCCTAGAGTTGAACTGACTTTTAATCTTCACGTTCACGCCTCATGAATAAATCGCACAAACAAGCAGCCACCGACAAGGGTCCAAAATCACTGTTCTATCGGCTCCTGCCATTTTCCGCCGTGAAAAACCTAAAACCGTGACAGCTGACAGTGATTTGTGTGCCCCTTCTCTCCCTCCCTCCCTCATAAATCTGCCCCTAATGTCTCTATAGGAACTGCATGTGACCACCAAAACGCGAGACCTGCTTAGATTTCCATAAGCCGCTGCTGCTATACCAAAGCAATCTCATCTCATGCAACATCTTTGACCGAATGCAGAATATTGCCAACTTCTACCAAGGGAAATATGCACTGGCTGCTTCCAAAACAGATGATGTTGTGGCCTGTTTTGCATTAATTCCGTGTGAAAGTGTAAAACATATAGAACAAATGCAGTGTACTTGGGATGGAGGTTAGAATCCACAGGTCACATGTGGCAGTAGTAGAAGATTTTCCTCCATAGCAGTAAACACAGCCTTATATCTTGATGCATTGTCCCCATCTGACAGCGGCCACAAAGACGTCCAGTGTTTTCGAGAGCGAGAGAGAGGAAGGATATTCTGTGAACAGGAACACTAAAGTGGTTTGCATATTTCTAGGGGAGCTGATGCATTAGACAAAGTCGCTGTGCAGTAAACTAAGAACTTTCCTTCAGTGCTTTGCTTTTTGTTTGACTTGAATTGTGGCGTTCCAGGACTTTTCAGAGGGACCTGGGAACCGGGAATTTTTTCAGATTGACAAAGTGGAATTATCTGAACCAGAGATATTTTAGAAATGTATGCTGATTCTTATACCTTCCAGTCTAGACCTCTCTTGATCCCTCTAGACCACTTTTGATTTGCTTGCACCTAGAGCCCAATCAAATTCCTAGTATGTGATTTCTTACTTACATGGCAAAGAATTATTCTGATTCTAAATAATTGTTTGGGGAAAAATATAAGAATTTGACGACATCATAGCAGTATTTTTGACATATTTTATATCAGTTTGGATTGTTTTTTAATTTTTATTTTTTTTAAATGGGGTACACCCTAAAGATGGGGGGGTTTGAGAGTTTGGGTTGAGTCTGAAAATAAAATAAGTTAGATACCCCTGAACCAGACTGATGCTGTTGATAAGTGATCATTGGACCAGCTCATTGATAATGATGGAAGGGTTTGCAATTATGTGATTTAAAGAGGTACAATTTTATAGTATTTTTTCGTCCCTTTAGGTTACTGGAGAAAGAGAGCGAGTCAGGTCTCAGTCTTAACCTATGATAATCTCTATGAATCCCTAATATTTACAGTCTATAAATGAATGAACGAAATCATATAGTGCGAAGGGGAGGGTGGGGGTTATAGAAAAATAAAATAGTGGGAAGAGAAAACATTATGTAGAAAGTAATGAGGAAACATTAGAAAATCACTTCAAAAGTTAATAAATCATAGCAAGTTTTATCACTACGTTTATAGTCCTAACACACATTCAGGCGTGTAGTAAAAACTATACAGGGAAAGTCTTTACTGACAGGCTCCTACTCAGATTGAAACAGGAAGTCCATGATCTTAAATTAAGCCAGCATTATGATCTGATACCAGTCAAACTTTGCTGTTGACTGGTGCTGGTTTCAACGCGTATTAGTTGTGCGTAAAATCCATGGGCACACTCACCGGTAACATTGCGCGCTCCGGTAACTTCACTTTCTCTTCAGTCTTCGCTCTGGGCTCCTTTCGTTCAGCTTCTTTCACCATTAACTTCAACTTTGAGGTAAATTTCCATAAGTCCAGCGCCTTCTTTCTTTCCCCCCGTCGGAGTCCAGACCGAGATCCAGATGCTTGAGGAAAAAGTCTACTCCACACTTTCCTCTCCCTGGCGCCCTCCCTCTTCCTCTCCCTCTTCCTTCCTCTGGTGCCGGCCGCGCGTTCAAACCATGGACAGAGAGGAAACGCAAACCTCCGCAAACAGCTGTCGCACCACAAATGTCATTGATTTGGTCTCGTTTTTTGACGCTCCGTGTTGAGACCATAGACCCGAGCGCCCCCCCCCCCCCTCACCTCCCCGCGGGTCTTGTTTTTACTCCGCTTCCTCATCTTCATCCTCCTCACACCACACCCTCAGGTCGCAAATAAAAGTACAATAAAAATGCGTAAAAAGTAATTTGGGTATAAATGATGGAAGAAATAATGTTCAACAAATATTCTTTAATCCATTGGCGCCCCCGTCTGGACACAATAGGAACTACGCCACGCACTGTTTAGACATAGAGCCAGTTTAAATGAATTATCGTTTTTAAATAAACAATGACATAGACAATCCAGCCCAATTATTTAGGCTGCATTGTCTAGAAATTGTAGGATAGGATAAATTGCCAGTATTGCAGTCTCTCAACAAACAGAATTCCTTTACAAATGTGAGCTAAAGCGACTGCAATGGCGCCCTCTATTGTTCATGAACATCACAGATTCAAGATCATTCTTCTGCTGCACGTCGTTTGGGAGGAGAGTAAATCCAGTTAACAACGTGACACTATCTGACCACAGTTTGTGTTTACTCTTGCACGTGTTTAGTCGATGAAACCAATCAAGTGTAAATCCATTATTCCTTATGCGTTTCCACTGGTCACACACAAACCAGACGCAACGACAGCCAGAGGCCTTTTCCATTCAGAGTCCTGGTTCCTGGACTGGATCTTCTCCTACATTAAGTCTTTACAAGAGCTTTTCTGTGGTCAGTAAGACATAATATAGCAATGATTTATAGTTTAAAGTTTGTTTTGGTCAAATGGAGCTGACTTTACTTTCCAAGGATCTAAAGTCAATAGAGCCGACCTCATTTTGATATGGACTTCCTGATATTGACAGACATATGTGGTATCATCGATCTATCTTTACTGGCCCTAGTTATGAATGAAGGCGAGAGTGAATGGTCTGTTGAAATGTGTGCTGAAAAAGAATCCTGAAAAAATAAAGCAGCGTAACATTACTAAACACTTTATTATTCAGAAGACGATAAGAGCATTTCCCCAGCAGACACCATATCACACAACACAACAGGTATGAATAAATATGTATAAATAGAATATAAGGGTATCAAATCAAAACTATAAAACATGAATCCTCAACGAACAGTGTCTTACAAATGTAGAAGCTTGAAAAGCTGCACAGAAGGGGGAGGGCAGGCCGCACATCAGTTTGGATTGTAGCAATGATGAGAAGAGCACAGTAACAGGGAATCGTTCTATTCCTCTTCTCGGCCAACATAAACCCACTACAAAGCAGTAATCGACAGAGGATGCAGTGAACACACACAGTTGTATGACCCAAGCGACAGGTCAGCCAATTGGACTTTGTAATGGAGTCTTGATATTATCTTTTCTAAATACATTCAACATGAGAGATGACTTTTAGTGCTTGACATCTGTGAAAGATACTTGACAATAACTTTCAACAAGACCAAGCGTCTGGAACTCAGGGAAATAGGACTAGGAACGCTACAAATTTGGTAGTACAGTTTAACACATGTTCATTATGCATCTGCGAACAATAGACATGTACAATAACAGGGATTTTGTTCAATTCTGAATGCATCACATTTTTTATCCAGCAAAATTGTAAAAGTTGCATCTCTGAAATTTGCATCAGAACACATCAGAACGCGGTTTTCTGTGAATTATAGTGTTCGCTACATATTAAATAAGAAAAGGCTTACTGCCAATAATAATGAACTGGGATTACAACATCTATATGTAGTTTGCGTCTTGCATAAAAGTTCCACCTCATGAACCATTTCAAACCTGCCGAAGCCTCCATCACATGCTCTGTTCCTACTGAATGCAGCAGCTCTGACCATTTGCATCCTTTGAGCGCAGACACAGCTTGGGCTTGTAGTTTTCCAGGTATAGAAGCTGCTTGGTATTGATTGCCCCACGGCGTTTCCTAGGTTAAAAATAATACTGTGAAACAAAACCATTTTGTAGAAGTAAGATCTGAAGATACTTACAGTCTAATGAAATGCACTGCATCCTCATATTCCATTCCACACTCGATTAAGGCCAAAGCCACCAGAACCGGAGCACTAGGAGTAAACATGATCACGCTCAATGAAAATACTTTCATTCAGAGTTTAGTCAAACCTACCGCCCGAGTCCTGCCACGCAGTGCACCGCTACACAAGAGCCAGGCTCCTCTCGAAACTTGGTCTGCAGCAAATGGAGCCAGTCGTCCACCACCTGCTCTGGAGGAGCAGAGCCATCCTCAAAAGGCCAATCCTACACAAGAAATAAATTCAATATTTACATGGCCATGAAATGGGATTAATACAATGAGCCAATACCTTTGTTAACATGATTGGGAGTTTTTTTAATAAGTGGAAGTATAAAGTTAAAGCAATACAGATTCCTTGGAATAAAAACCTATGTATATGCCATAACAACATATACTAATACATATATGACTGGACACTGCACATGTTTACAGTGTGTGGGTGAGACTTACAAGGACTTGTATGCCTTCCTGTTCCACTGGTGCTTTATCATAGGTCGCTGCACAGACTCTGACTAGAGTGTTCACACCAAAGCTTTTAAGATCCTAATTGAATAAAATTGATGACAAAGAAAAAAACGTTGGATTCAAATTATAATGTGCAGGAAAGATTAAGAGACATACATGAACACTTACTTCAATGAACTTCCCCAGTTGTTGGTTGGTGGGGTTGTGTGTGATCAGAAACCTCAGGCAATCATAAGTGATCTCTACTGGAGCTGGTCGGTTCATTGTTATAATAAAAAATTACCTCTAGTGTGCTTTTCTAAAGTGGTGTTACAGTAAGTAATATATTCCTTACTTAGGAATAGGGGCACTTTTTAATTACGGTATTTAATAAAGGAGGTGAAAAATTCAAGCTTTGATTGTAGTGAAACAGATTATTTGGCAACAGCAAAATCTGGCTTTAGAGTTGAATTTCAAAATGTCGATAAGGAAAGACAAAGACGGGACTTCAATTGATCCTGGTAAGGGGGTATAGAAGCAGGCAGCAAATAGGACGATCCCAGGATTTATGGAAAGCCTCTTCTACCCCACAGAACAGGCAAGAGACTGACAAGTGAATCTTCCTCATAAGGGCCCAATAGGACGTCTCTAAAGACCTGCATGACACAATTTGGATTGTTATCACAAATCCATTCGATTGAAATTCTCCGAGTCCATACACACCTCTCGACAGTGGCAGTAGTGGCTTCTCACTCTCCTGTTCACTTGTCCACAATGAGCAGTTGGTGCTGTGCCTGGCAAAACTCCCCTCCAAGCTTCACAAACGCCATACATATGCAGCCTGCATCACAAACGCTAATAGTAGTACAGAGGAAGCCCTGGAAACGACAGCGAACACAGCCGTACTCACTGTGAAGAGAGCTGTGGAGATGGTTCATTGAGCGTACACTGGAAATTGTGCCGGCTGCTAGTTGTGGACACACCATTGATGATGATGCTTCTCTGGACTCTATGGTCTGCTTGTTGCTGCTACTCTATCTTTGAACAAATAACACAAGAGAAAATTACAATATTGGTTCCAAACAATAAGGCATTTAATTCATTGTACTTAGCAAATAGTGAATATTAAGAAATGTTCAGAGAGAGCTCCAACATAGGCCTGCACAGAGTATTTAAATAAGCCGTGTAACGTATATAAGGCTCACTTCACACTAAACTGTACTAAAGTGTTACATTTGGGTCAAGTCCCCAATGTTCACAGCACCACTCTTGTTTTTTTCACAGCGTGTTTTCCCAGTGACACTACTTCAACACTGATTTGTTCACACCTGTACTCTTAATAGCACTTTGGACGCAATGAGTTACGTCCAAAACGCCCAGTTTTTCTGCTGTTATTGAATATTTTTTTCATAATGTTTGATCTATAATTAAGCCTTGATTATAGTTACACCCCCAAGAGTCTTCCCTGTTCTGTTAATTATTCCTTTCACAAAGCCTCCAACATGTCATATATATGTAATGTCTCATTTTTGAAAGGCATCCTTTTTTCTTGAAATAGTTTTGAGCCCATCTGAGATTATCCTATGTATATAAACTATGTACGTATAACAAGATAGTATCAAAGAACTATGATATGATAACGTGTTTGATCCCTACATTTATTGTATTGCTGATTGAAGTAAAAATTGACGCATTGTACAGTTTAGCGTGGAGTGAGCCAGAACTTACATTCTCTATAACGTTATAAAGTCAGTGATAACAGAAGTCAGGGTTAACACAGGTTGAGCTAAATGTGTACACTGAACCTTTGGTGGATAATCCTGTGTTAATCGTGTTGATGTCACAGCCTGGACAACAGGATGCGTGAACCCTTCGTTTCACAAACATCACATCATCTAAAAACGACTATTAGATTAACCCATTCATGATGCTACCGTGATGCTAACGCTAGCAGCCGCTGGGTGGGTTCAGTGAGTTCATATTATTTATTATAAGATGCAGGCAGCCTTTAAACAAGGGATTTACTGGAGAACTTAGCGAGATTGTCCTCAACACCAAACAGATCACAACCCCCTGTCGTCGTAGGTCACAAAAGGCAGAAGCATCAGGACGTGAAAACCAGGTCAGCCCAGACACACGGCAGCGGCGGTTCGGGATGACAGCGCTCCTGCTCCGACCATCCACCGGGTTATGATCACGCACCTCCACACAGGACGGGAGACGTGGAAAACAAACGTCTCTCCGAATACACGAATATATATACTTGTGAAGTATACAACAGACTTATTTGAAGAACACTTACTAAATGTCCGCGAGCCACAAATGGGGGTCAGTGGTGGAGGAGAGCACGCAGGGTCTGCATGGCGAGATGAGGACGTCAAGCTACAGCACTGCGCAGCCACTTCCGGTTTCTGTGTGTCACGTGCTTTTACTTTGATAACGAGAAACGCTACTTCCGGGATATTACTGTAGCTACGTTCTGATCAGTGTAAATATGAGTATTAAGCATATTATTATGTAAATATTCCAAGCTTTGTTTGTTGAAGGAATGAGCTTAAAATATTTCACAGATCGCTCGTTCTTATTAATACGAAGAACTCCATAAGACGTCTTGCTTTTGCCTGAGCTTTGACATCATGCCCCCTTTGTATTTTTATTATTATTATTATTATTATTATTATTCACTTTGTCTTTTGTATAAATATTATGTAAGGTCGATGTTTTGTTTGTATTAACATTAATAAAGACGTTTATTTACAAAAAAAACTGTAGCTATGTAGCATGGATCTAGCTATGTAGCCTTATCATGGTATCGCTTGTAATATAATTTTCTTGCAGAAGACCGAAAAAATGTATACAGCAAGCTTCTGTTAGCTTCTGTTAGCTTGTATGCTAACGTTTCAAAATGTGCCACAGAGCTTCCTCGTGTACGCAGTAACGGTTATACTGCCATCTTCTGGACACGTTCACCAGAGTCGCTAGCCATTGCATCTCTTTTTATTAATAATAATAATAAAAGAAAGATCCGTGTCAACGAATTGCTGAACCCATGCGATCGGAGAATCAGAGACATTATTATAGATCCATGATCAGAGGCTGTTTCCATTGCTTTGAGCGTGACACTTTGCCATTCGTTGAAACATATGTTTAGAGAACAGGACTAATAGTTTATAGACGAAAATAACATGCCATCTGGTGGAAAACACACACGATATATGACTCTCCCTTTTCTAGGGTCGAGACCACCCAGCAGAATGGATTTTAACTATTGTAAAACATTGCTGCCATCTGCTGTACAGTCAGATCCTAAGTCTCAGCTACTGAAAGTTTTATTAATGGGTGTTGTAGTGTCAGTGGTTAACATAGATACTGAGGTATTTAACGCAAGTACTGTTTACAGAAAGTGTGCGGTTTGCTTCTTGGATTCCTTCAGTCAAGTAGTGATAACTGTTCTTTTAGCTGTGCTCATTGTAGGACTAGAGAGAGTATAGTAGTAGACCCAGCCCACAAAAGCAAAGTGTGCCCCATTGAAAAGAAGAGAAACTCAGTGGAACATCTGTGTAATGACCACAATAAGGCGTGGCTCTCATTCCTTCCTTTTCTTCTCCATAATGTTTCCTGGTTTCCTAAAAACACTGATCTGTTGTCAGGGGAGAAATGGTTTTACACTGTGAAAGACAAAGCATGTGTGTATTACCTATTCATAAGGTTTTATTTTACATGGGGCGAGGGAGTGGATACTATAAGACAGGGCATGTAAATTATACTTTTGTGTGTGACGTTGTATCTGATGAATCTGGTTCAGCAGGATTTCTGAGGCTGAGGGAGGAGACTGCAGGCGCTGGAAGAGCAAGGAACTCCACACTAAAGGCTGAAGAATCAAAATGTCTCTGTTTTTCTTCTAAATTGGAAAGGGCTATCACTACCTGAGTCAGGTTACTTCAAAAGGTAAGGCTAAAATGATATATTTCATCAAATGGATGATAAAAATGATCTCAAACTGGTATTTTCTGTTTCATGTGCCATATTAGTGATAGTGAATCCTGACTATCTTGTTGTAAAAGTAACAACAGACATGTTGTTATAGCTAAGTCCGATTTGACACAACGCAAACAACTTTTAGTTTTGTGGTCACTGAGAAAAGTATGTGAGCATGTTACACAATAGACTTAAGGAATTCGCCAACGCCAAATGTGGTGTAGCTGTTAAACTGTGTCTTCAAGAAATCCTTCTCTTAACTGTTGTGAGATAAATAAATATGGAAAAATACCTAATATGACTTTAGTTCATAAAAACTGTCTACAATTTTGAACATTTGACTTGTATCTAAACACTAGGAGAACTTCAATAAAACAGGCCCTAAAATGGCTCTCCCAAAGTAACGTGCAGCCTTCTGAATAACGATCATGGATGTAGAATCTGCCAATGCCCTCTTATGGTTGTCCCTAAAATCACGTTCAGTGTTCTATAACTCACGCTTGAGTCAAACCGCGGTGTATCTGACTGTTGGTTTTCCTGATAAACAGGTCAGTTTGGCCTAGGTTTTTATATTAATCTATAGGATATGAATTGTTGTGTTTATTTATGAGTATTAGTAATGATAGTCTTGATATCAATCAGATAACAATGGTTTGATATTCATACAGAGAGGTGTCCACACTGTTCCAAACATCAATGATAAACAAAGAACCTTATGGCTGCTTTATCAATAAACTACTTTGTCAACATATGAATGAACTGACTTTACTTCATCATAAAAATCCTTCTTTCTATGAGCCTATACACTCAGAACATACACCAAAGGTCAAATCCTCGTGCTCTGATAGTCCTGACGAAGGCACAACATTGGAGAAGGGTCCCCAGGTGCTGCACTGTGATGACAACTGCTCTGGCTTTGGACCAGGGCAGCCCTAGGGTCTTTCCATCTTTATGGTACGTGTGATGCAGCTAAATCCAGGGCCTTAAAGCAGGGCTCTCAAACTCAATATAGCTGGAGGCTGCAGGAGGTCTGGTCTGGGTGAAGCTGGGGCATAATTATCATGTGTTTGTCTGTGTGTAAAATGTGTGAATATTGGATCAAACAGATCTACAGTATGCACTTGATACTATTAAGCCACAAAAACTGAACAAACTATTTACTTTCCACACACACTGCAGATCCTGAACTGATACAAATATACATATTTCTGTAACTACCCCATCTTTTCTATTAATAACAGTAGAGAAAGAAAAAGTGTTCGTAGAACAGAGAGAAAAACAAGGAAACCAACGCAGTTTGTGAAAACTTTGTTTACAGCTCATCATTTGCATCAGTGGCATTTTATAATCATGAGAGCATTTTGATCAAATAAGAATTTTTGTATAGATACACATTTTATATATTTTTATGAACAAAGTAACTCCAGCTGTTAGGATTGAAACAAAACTGGACCAAAGGCAATGACTCTTTGTCCTGTAGTCTGCTGTGCAGAATGATGTTTATAACACTGCGTTCGTCCCTTTCCCTCATTAAAGGACTTTTTATTAATCAGAGTGCCTCGGATTTTACCCTGTGTTTACTTTTCCACAGAAAGGGTATCTTTGTTTGCTATAATGTTGCTGCGCAGAATTAAGTTTATAATTGTCTTTTTTCAAAATACGAATAGTATTCATTGAATGTGTGTGTTTACCTCCAATGGTGGCATTAGATTCTCTCTAAGGTGGATTTAAAGGGGCTTTGACTGAACTAAACTCAGGCTACGCTGTGGTTTATACAAACACTTCTCAGACCTTGAACACCTCACAAAGCACTGTTTAATCTATCATCCAGGAATGGAAAGCGTCTGCCCAATAAAAAGCATCTTTAATTTGTTATTAAGCAAAGAAGAATTGGAAAGGCAACCTTTTGTGCAAAGGTATTGACATACCCCAAAAGACTTTCTCAAAGTACTTGGGGGCTGAATACTTCTGCAAGTCCCACGTTTCAATATATTATTTCTAAATAATAATAACATAATAATAAATTGTTTTGCCAGCGCTTCATATTTGAGCACATGAGTCATGAACAGCAGGAGCTTTAGATACACCGGATTGTCACAATGTACTCTTTACACTTAGTTACTCTTACTCTAGAATAGATCACACTATAGAAGAGAAACATATTTGTAAGTATGCTTTACAGACCAGAATTCATTGTTCGTAATAGATAATAACTAGTATTTAATACATACGTGTCAATGAGCCCAATAAGTCCAACTGCCACAACAATCAGATCATAATTATAATGGCATTATTTAAACCTGCTTCAGTGTCATATCTCCATCTATAATGCACTTTTCTATTTTCACAACAACATCACATGCACCCATTAAAAAGAACAACAAGACATCAAACATTCACGCACTGACTTTTGATTTCTAAACTTGGATAACAAAAAGAAAAACATTCTTATCTCTCGGAGCCAGCTGACAAAGACATCAATTTTCCACTTGTGGGCGCGATGTGAGTGTGTCTCCTCTGGCCCGGCTTGTTCTCATTACTGGGGCAGAGACTTTCATTACCACACAAGCCGATAAAACTCAGAGGCCTGCAATAACTTACAGTGCCTTGCGAAAGTATTCGGCCCCCTTGAACCTCTCAACATTTCGCCATATTTCAGGCTTCAAACATAAAGATATACAAATTTAATTTTTTTGTCATGAATCAACAACAAGTGGGACACAATCGTGAAGTGGAATGAAATTTGTTGGATAATTTAAACTTTTTTAACAAATAAAAAACTGAAAAGTGGGCGTGCAATATTATTCGGCCCCTTTACTTTCAGTGCAGAAAACTCAGTCCAGAAGTTCAGTGAGGATCTTTGAATGATCCAATGTTGTCCTAAATGACTGATGATGATAAATAGAATGCACCTGTGTGTAATCAAGTCTCCGTATAAATGCACCTGCTCTTTGATAGTCTCAGGGTTCTGTTTGTCTCCAATCCACAGATAACCATCCAACAGCCTAAAAGGCTCTTTGAGCTAACTTACTTTGCACCTGTAAATGATCAAACTGTCCAAGAGATAATCTCCAGTCTGAGCGCCTCCACATGTAGCCTGGATGTACTACCCACTAGATTTCTAAAGTCTGTTCTGAGCAGTCTGTTACCTTCACTCACACAGATAGTAAACATGTCCCTTCATTCTGGAATATTCCCAAAGGCCCTGAAAACTGCAGTCATCAGGCCCCTGCTAAAAAAGAGCAGTCTGGATGCCACTGTACTTAACAACTATCGTCCCATCTCAAATCTGCCATTTATGGGGAAAGTCCTTGAAAAAGTTGTCTACCAACAGCTAAATAGATTTCTTATAATCAACAACTCATTTGATATGTTTCAGTCCGGCTTTAGACCCCACCACAGCACTGAGACTGCTCTCGTTAAGGTTACAAACAATATCCGGCTGAACACTGACGCAGGCAAAGTCTCAATCTTAATCTTGTTAGATCTGAGTGCTGCCTTTGACACTGTCGACCATGAGATCCTCTTACAGAGACTAGAGAACTGGGTTGGCGTCGCTGGCACCGCCCTAAGTTGGTTTAGGTCTTACCTTGAAGACAGGAAGTACTTTGTGGAGATTGGAAACTGTGTCTCAGATCATATGGCCCTGACCTGTGGAGTACCACAGGGGTCGATCCTGGGACCTCTTCTTTTCAATCTCTACATGCTGCCGTTAGGTCAGTTAATACGCAGAAACGAAATTTCCTATCATAACTATGCAGACGACACTCAGATCTATGTCTCACTGACTGCAGGAGAACATGGACCAGTGGACTCACTCCTTCACTGTATCCAACAGATCAGTGAGTGGATGCAAAACAACTTCCTTCAGCTAAACGCAGACAAAACTGAAATGATTGTCTTTGGTCCCCAGAAACAAAGAGAGAGCGTCATCTGTCATCTACAGTCTCTCTCCCTAAAACCTTCAAACAAGGTCAGAAATCTAGGGGTAATACTGGACTCAGACTTAAATTTTAATAGCCACATCAAATCAGTAACATCAGCAGCTTTTTACCATCTAAAAAACATTTCCAGGATCAAAAACATAGTGTCTAAAGCAGACTTGGAGATTCTTATCCATGCATTTGTCTCCAGTAGGTTAGACTACTGCAATGGCCTGCTCACAGGTCTGTCCAAACAGGCTGTAAAACAGCTGCAGTACATTCAAAATGCAGCAGCTCGAGTCCTGACTAGAACCAGGAAGTACGACCATATTAGTCCGGTCCTCAGGTCTCTGCACTGGCTTCCTGTGGCTCAGAGAATAGACTTTAAAACAGCTCTGCTTGTGTACAAGTCTCTCCATGGCCTCGCACCAAAATATATTAGTGACATGTTAGTCCCATATGAACCAGCCCGGACTCTGAGGAGCACAGGGACTGGACTCCTGTTAGTGCCCAGAGTCAGAACTAAACATGGGGAGGCTGCTTTTCAGATTCATGCTGCTAAAATCTGGAACATTCTTCCTGAAGATGTGAGACAGGCCTCCTCTCTGACTATGTTTAAAACCAAGTTAAAAACTGTGCTGTTTAGCTGTGCATACAACTGAGGGATTTTATATTTTTATCTTTCTTTTTAATGTTCTGTGATTATTTATGATTTTAATGCTATCTTGTTCAGCACTTTGAGTTGCCTTGTGTATGAATTGTGCTATACAAATAAACATGCCTTGCCTTGCCTTGCCTTTAAAGCGCAGAGAGAACCATGAAGACAAAGGAACACACCAGGCAGGTCCGAGATACTGTTGTGGAGAAGTTTAAAGCCGGATTTGGATACAAAAAGATTTCCCAAGCTTTAAACATCTCAAGGAGCACTGTGCAAGCAATTATATTGAAATGGAAGGAGTATCAGACCACTGCAAATCTACCAAGACCCGGCCGTCCCTCCAAACTTTCATCTCAAACAAGGAGAAGACTGATCAGAGATGCAGCCAAGAGGCCCATGATCACTCTGGATGAACTGCAGATAACTACCATGGAGAGACTTGTACACAAGCAGAGCTGTTTTAAAGTCTATTCTCTGAGCCACAAAAAAAGTAGTAGCTATGTTTCTTAACTAGCATAACTGGCTGTAGATGCTGAAAATGCTTCAATACCAGTCAAAAAATATATACATATATATATACAAACTCCATAGTATTCAAGAATTAAGGTAGTATTCAAGAAGGTACAAACATTCTTGGTTCATTCATTTATTCTATTTCCGCTTAACGAACGATTATACACATTGTTTAATTATGCGCTGAGTGAGCCATAAATGTGATGTTTTTGTGTTGTAGGGCGTCTGCGTGGTTTCCTCCGGTGGAGAGGCAGTACGAGGGATGAATTGGTCGGGCCTGGAGAGCCTCCTGAGCGGGGTGAATAAGTACTCCACCGCCTTCGGGAGGATCTGGCTGTCCATGGTGTTCGTGTTCAGAGTGATGGTGTTTGTGGTGGCCGCGCAGAAGGTGTGGGGAGACGAGAGCAAGGATTTTGTCTGCAACACCCGACAGGTAAGAAGGGAAAGCATATGGGGGCTCGCACTGACTGTCAGTGTTGTATCAGCAGTTACAGGAGAGGACAGCTAAGAAGAGCACACAGCACAAGATAAATGAACAATAACTCTATATACTGAATGAAATTAAATGAAATCTCTAACTCTAGTATAAAAAAAGACACAAGTATAACATCGTAATCATAATGAATACAAAAACTCTGACTTTAGAATAATAAAGAAGTATAAAAAACTCTGACTTTAGCATAATATAGAAGTATTAAAATCTACCTTTAGCAAAGAATAAGTGTAAAATCTGTCTTGAACATGAGCACAGAAGTCTGAAATGAGTTTAGTTTAGCTTATTTTGTTGTCATATACACATTACATGCAGTGAAATTCTTATGTGCCTCCAGCAGATGTTCAGTACAGTATTCAGAACACACAATAACAGCACAGCAACAGAACCAGAACCAGAGCAGAGCCAGAGCTAGGCCCGGTTTAGCAGTTTTATGGCTTCAGGAAAGAAACTCCTTCTCATCCTCTCAGTGTTTTTTTTTTAGGTTATTTCTTTTTGAAGTAACTCAGTGTTTATTTGTTATGAATATATTTGCATCCTTTGGCATGCTAAGAGGCAAGTATAAAGTATTGTATTTTAGTGCAAGCAGTGTATAGTTGTGTGTTTACATCTGTTTAGCGGTAACACTTCAGCAGCATGAGGCCCTGGGACACAGACTCAGTGGAGCAACAGTGGACACATTACAAATGGGAAAATTGGTCAAATATTGCCAGTTACGATCAAAGTAACTGCATGATGTAAGTGCACAATTGCTTAGTTTAATCTGTTTGCAATAATTAAAGAAAGCAAAGATGATCGTTATAGTTTCTAGAAGTGGAACAAAGAATCACTCAAACACTAGTAACTATTAATGTATCGACAATACAATGTTAGAGTAACTTTTACCCAACACTGGTCCTCATTCGATGGTTTTTAGGTGTTTCTCTACAGCTTTAAATATGAAAACAACTCTGTCCTTAATTTTTGAAAGAAAAAAAGGCTGTTTTTTGTATCGTTTTTTGTCTTGTTATACTTCTTTACTATGTTAAAGTTAGAGATGTCATACTCGTTTCTTTAAGGCTAGAGTTATATTTATTGTTTTATTTTAATTAGTAAAGTGATTGTTCATTGATCTTGTGCTGTGTGCTCCTCATTCCTACTGTTCTGTAACTTGTGATGCAACACTGAAATGTCCCCAGTGTTGGACGAATAAAGGATCTCTTCATCTTAAAACAATGTGATTATATGATAAATATTGTCTGATCTGATCTTTAGTCCACTCAGTTCACCCCGGCGCTGGGTTTGGGTTTAGCAAAATGGCTTCAGTGTGGATCCTGGATCAGATCTCTGGCTGCAATAAAAACTTACCATCTCAGTCCTAAACTAGACCTTTCACTCCTAAATGAACTAAAATGACTGAGACGATACTGCTCCATGCCTCAAGCCAGATAATAATAATAATGTTTGCTGTAAAACTGGATTTTCCCGCTTGTGTTTCAGCCGGGCTGCACCAACGTCTGCTACAACCACATCTTCCCCATCTCGCACATTCGCCTGTGGGCACTGCAGCTCATCTTCATCACCTGCCCGTCGCTCATGGTCATCGCTCACGTCAGGTTCAGAGAGGGGAAAGACCAGAAGTATGAGGCCGAGCACCACGGCTCACACCTGTACGCGAACCCAGGGAAGAAGAGGGGGGGGCTGTGGTGGACCTACCTGGTCAGCCTCATCTTCAAAGCAGGGTTTGACGTGTCCTTCCTCTACATACTCTTCAGGATATACCACGGATATGACCTCCCCAGGTACACAGCAGCCCACAGGGTTCAGCTTTTCACTCACAAGGTCCCATTGCATTGCATGTGTTCTTGAAATCTTTGTTTGATATTATCCATATTATCAGAATCAGAATCAGAATCCTTTTTATTGCCACGTAAGTAACAGGAGGTCACAGACTTGGAAATTGCTTTGGCTCAGTGCAACAGTCAGAAAGAGATAATAAAAATAAGAATAAAAAACACTTCTAAAGAATAAGTTTAAATTTAAAATAGAGTTACAGTTACTATTTACAATATACAAGTGCACATGGTGCACACAATGTAAGGTGACAGCAGTACAGTGAAGTAAAGTGACGTATGATGGGCAGTAAAGTGACTTTATAAAGGGCGGGGGGACAGGTTAAGAAGTGTTCAAGAGTCCAACAGCAGAGGGGAAGAAACTGTTCTTGTGGCGGGAGGTTCTAGTCCTGATGGACCGCAGTCTCCTGCCTGAGGGGAGTGGTTGGAATAGTCCATGTGCAGGGTGAGAGGGGTCGGCTGTGATACGACCAGCCCGGCCTCGAGCTCGGGCGACGTACAGGTCCTGCAGCGATGGAAGGCTGCGGCCGATCACTTCCTCTGCAGAGCGCACAATGCGCTGTAGTCTCTGTTTGTCCCTGACTGTGGCTCCAGCGAACCACACGGTGATGGAGGAGGTGATGGAGGAGGTGATGGAGGAGGTGAGGATGGACTCAATAATGGCCGTGTAGAACTGCACCAGCATCTGTGCAGGCAGCTTGGCTTTCCTGAGCTGCCGCAGGAAGTACATCCTCTGCTGGGCCTTCTTGATGAGGGAGCTGATGGTCGGCTCCCACTTGAGGTCCTGGGTGATGGTGGTGCCCAGGAAACGGAAGGACTCCACAGAGGTGATGGGGGGAGTCCATCACGGAAGGTGGGGGCTGGGGGACAGTGCTCTTCCTGAAGTCCACAATCATCTCCACTGTCTTCTGGGCGTTCAGCTCCAGGTTGTTACCACTGCACCAGGACACCAGCCGGTCCACCTCCCTCCTGTAGGCAGACTCATCGTTGTTGGAGATGAGTCCAATGAGGGTGGTGTCGTCCGCGAACTTGATCAGCTTCACGGAGTCGTGGCTGGAGGTGCAGTGGTTGGTGTACAGGGAGAAGAGCAGGGGAGAAAGAACACAGCCCTGTGGGACTCCTGTATTTATAATCCGAGAGTCCGAGACATTCTTCCCCAGACGCACTCGCTGCTTCCTGTCCGACAGGAAGTCAGTGATCCACCTGCAGGTGGAATCGGGCACGTTGAGCTGGGAGAGCTTGTCCTGGAGCAGGGATGGCAGGATTGTGTTGAAGGCAAAGCTGAGGTCCACGAACAGGACCCTGGCGTAGGTCCCCGGGTAGTCCAGGTGCTGTAGGATGTGGTGGAGGGCCAGGTTAATGGCGTCGTCTACAGATCTGTTGGCTCTGTAGGCGAACTGCAGGGGGTCCAGGAGGGGGGAGGTGAGGGACTTGAGATGGGAGAGAACCAGGCGTTCAAATGACTTCATGACGACAGACGTAAGTGCTACAGGTCTGTAGTCATTGAGTCCTGTGATCCTGGGCTTCTTCGGGACGGGGACAATGATGGAGGATTTGAAGCAGGCCGGGACATGGCAGGACTGCAGAGAGGTGTTGAAAATGTCAGTGAACACAGGAGTAAGCTCACTGGCGCAGTATCTCAGAGTGGTCAGAGACACGTGGTCCGGGCCAGGAGCAGGTGGAAAACGCATTTATATGTGTTTTCCACCCCCTGATTGCCATCCCCCCAACCCAGAAATGGATTAAGGGGTAGAAAATGGATGGATGGATGGATATATGTGTTTTCTGGAAAAATAAAGAATTGTGTAAGGTTCGTGATAGCAGGCTGCCATCTGGCTTAATCCATAGAGAGAAAAAGTCAAGGCCCTTTTCTTTAAGTTTGTGTAAGCCCTCAGTCGTACAGGGATTAGTCAAAGCAAAGGAAGGTTTCTCACCCATCGTCTGTACTTCTTAACAAGTTTTCCCAACGTTTCGTCCTCAATCCCAAGGACTTCTTCAGGGAAATTCCCTGATGGGTGAGAAACCTTCCTTTGCCCTTTTCTTTAAGAATATTACATGAAGAGAAATGTAATGACAATCACATAAAAGTGACGGCCCCTTTTTTTAAGCAATGAAAAACATACAGAGAAGGACTGTGGGAAAAGCTCTACTAATATAACGTTTATCTCACTCTTTCAGGTTGTCCAAATGCTCCTTGGACCCGTGCCCAAACACCGTGGACTGCTTCATCAGCCGGCCCACGGAGAAGAAGATCTTCATGTTGTTTATGGTCGTGTCCAGTGTGGTGTGCATCTTCATGTGCATCTGTGAGATGGTCTATTTAATCGGAAAACGGATCAAAAAACTCCTCAAGATTCGTCACGACAACCAGAGGTTACTGTTTGCAGAACAACACGAGCTGACCACCTTTGCTCCTCCACGCTCCCAGTACAAAAAGACTGACCCCACACTGGGAGACAGCCAGCTCAGCCTGAACCGGAAGGAGAAGATCAGAGAGGGCTGCACCACGACCACACTATAGACTAAACAGCTCAGGGACTCACCAGAGCTGAATCTTGTGTTGAACAAGACTAAACATTTTTTCTATGGAAAATATTTTTGCTGGGACGGTACCAATTCTAGCTGACGGCATTTTTTAATAATCATATCAGGGATTGTGTTTGTCTCGATGGGAGATAAATTGTATAAACATGTGATGACTGTTTGCTCCATGAAATTGCTGTTATAACAAGTTGAATAAATGTATCCTTAAGGGCTGTGTAATCTGGATTTGACCGTGAACGTTGTGACTCTCTCCATCTGGATGTCTTCCAGAGTCACAAGGACACTCACTTCAATCACAGATGATAAAGGTTTGTGTGTGAGTGCTTATGAACATAACTTTTCATTCAACAAACAATGGGACAATATGTTCCCATGTGTGCTTTGTAACCAGTGTAACCAGTTGGACAGACTAAAAATAATGTCATGCTGGCTTGTTTGACCACAGGGGGGCGCTGTTTTCTTTCCTCGCAACATTAGGGATCATTTTATATTTGATTCCAAAACATTCAATGAAAATAGAAAGCCTTAGAATGTCCTTTAGAATTTTACATGCATTAAGATTTGTTCCATCAATAGTGGCAGTAAATAGTGGCAGTTAAATATCTGCTCCCGATATGGCATAGAGCATGACATCAAGTATAATGCCTCTAAAAGTCAAATCATGATTGTAAAAACAAAGGAGGATAAAAAATTTGTGTTCCCTGATTTCCTTCTATGTGGTGATATTCTCCAACCCACAAAGGAGGTAAAGTATCTTGGACACTACATAACCTCTGACCTCTCTGACGACAGAGACATGTATCGACAGCAGTGTAAACTTTATGGCCAGGCTAATATGCTCGTTTGGAAGTTTCACATGTGCTCTAGAGATGTTAAAGTTAATCTTTTCAAGGCTTTTTGCTCACCCTTGTATACTGCACAGCTCTGGTGTAGATATAAGAAAAAGAGTATGCGGAGTCTAAATGTGGCTCACAATGACTCTCTGAGGATTCTGTTGAAAGTGCCCAGGTTTTGTAGCGCCAGTGAAATGTTTGTAAATTGTGGTGCGAGGTCATGTGTTGTCTCCATCAGATATTGTATTTACTCTTTTATGTGCAGAGCCGTGAATCTGTCAAACCAGATCATCCAAGCTCTGGTCTGTCCAAAGAGGAGCTCTGTAAGGTTTTCCTCTGACCTATGGAGGCATTGGAGGTCCTGTCTGTACACCTGTTTATAATTTTACTGTATACATGTTTTTTGTCTCTTTATTATTATTTTTTGTTTTTTTAATCTATGAACCAGTTCTATCTGTGTTCTTAATAAAGAATGAATTGAATTGAATTCTCCAAAGCAAAAAGACAATTATTTTCAATGTTCAATGTCCAACAATTTTCTTAGTCCACCAGATGGAGCCAACCACCATGAAATGAGCATTTACTTTCCTCAAAGAACAGTCATGCGCGTCACAACGTTAGACACATTATTAAACTATACTATTTGCCATTCATCACGATTTCTTATGTTAATATTACCCATTAGAACTTGACCGAAAGTTTATGTAAAAATGGGGGTTCTGGCAACATTTGAATGACAGCATGACACATCCTTGTACAATAACATTATGGTAATACTAAAAGTGATTCTTTGTAGGCTGGTGACTTCCAAAGTAGGGATTTGGGTTCCCCCCATCACTAACATGAGAAAGACCTCTTGCTCTTCATTGTGAGATAATATAATTTCAACAGAATAGGATTGGTTTCATGTGCGATGTTTTAAAATGCTTGACTAGTTGCAGCAGATTGTCCTAATATAAATGTAGGAGTGAGTAGATATGTGTTATGTGCAGGAAACACTGGACCTAAAGTCTAATCGATTCACCAGAGACAGTCAGAGGGGATTGAACATTTATTACCCTTATTAAAAGTTACAATAAAACCATTAACATCTTAAAACGATAGCAAAATAAAGAGAACCAAAATAAATGGCCAAACATATTTACAGAGACAGTTGGCAGATAAAAAGCTCACATTTTTGTACACAATCCCAACCCCTGCGTCATAAACTCTGAAATGAAACACTGCAATAGTCAAGAAGCTGGATGTGGTTTTAGCCAGAAGCACAAACAAAAGACAGATCTGTTTTCAAACTCCCCTCCTGTTTTTCACTTTTCTATACATGACAAAATACTTGAAATTTTGGGGTAAAACAAAGGAATGTAGAATTCTAAAAATGAATATGATCATTTGAAAAAGGTTTATGTGTCCTTATAACAGTCATTTCGAGTGAGATGGTCTGCCCCGCTCCATAACAGTGACATATTTTGAAGATCCAAAAGATGACAAAGAATAAAAATGTTATAGGGCTGCCACGCTGTTTCGAGGATGCTTCTCCATGAATTGGGAAAATAAGTCAGTATTCCTGATTTGCTTCACATCCAATCCATTACCTTTGCCTTGGCCAGTCCCTGTGTACCGTGAGGGGCGACACAGCCAACACTTTCGTCATGAGAGGGCCCGGTGAATTCCGCCTGTCAAAGAACTAATAAAAAGGCAGTGAACTGGTGGTTGAATCAGCAAACGTGATAAATCCTTGTCTTCTTTTGTCGTTTTGTTTAGAACTTTAAAGACGTGGCACGAGTCTCTCATATATATATATTTATATACTTTAATCTTGTAAAATCAGTTCAGGTGCAGACAGAGCGGTCACTCTGCCTTGGCCTCGGGCTCAGAAGCTGCAGGTGTCGTGTCCTCAGCAGGGGCCTCTGGAGCAGGGGCTGCTTCTGTGGGAGGGGCCTCCTCCGCAGGCTTGGCCTCGGCCTCTGGAGCAGCCTCAGCTGCTGCCTCCTCTCCCTCCTTGGGCTCAGCGGCGGCTGGTGTCTCCTCTTTGGTTTCTTTGGCCGCATGGCCGTTCTCCTCTGGCTTGTCCTCAGTCGAGGGCGAGGTGGCCTCCTCTTTGCCCTCTTCACTGCCCTTCTTGCTCTTCTTCAGAGAGATGCCCTTGAACTTGAAGGAGTTCTTCAGAGAGAACTTTTTCTTCTTCTTCTCCTTAACGGGCTCTCCCTCCGCCTTGGCCGGCTCGCCTTCAGCAGCAGGGGCGGGCTCGATGGCGTCCCCGGTGCCCTCCTCTCCCTCTTTGGCTGGCTCAGCAGTGCCGTTCCCATCCGCAGCAGCCTCCCCGTCGGGTTTGGCCGACACATCTCCATTAGTCTTCACATGGCCGTTCTCCTGTGAGCAAAAACATCATTAGCCACAAACTCAAACCTCTTCTATACCAAAAACTGATCCTGAGGAAATGGGGCCGTCACTGGTGCTCATCTGCGCAGTGAGAAAATATAGTGAAAATCCCAGCGTGTGAGCGGCCTGCATTAGCCCAGTTACTCTGCCTAATCCATGCTTTGCACAACAGGCTCTGTGCCCGGACAGCGGTTCACAGAGCGACTCAACAGCTGCTCGCACTTCTCCAGGCGGACACACGGAGGCAGTAGTGCACCGTGCGCAGTCTTCACCACGGTCTGAGTCTGGGAACAAAGGATTCCCTGAGCAGCCTGTGTGCGCGGTGCTGGTCCAGTCTGGACACGACTCCGTCAGTAGAACCGGGGTATATTAACTTAGAACTACTTCTATTCGGACTGCCTGGCCTCAGATCAGCAAGATCCACACGCTTAAGTTAAAGGGGACCTATTACAACTCAGGATCATGTCGTGCAATTGCAAATCCAGCAAATACAATAGACACATCCTAAAAATGTGCGTGTCTTTGTTGGAGCTGGTCACAGCAGCTGCGCTGAGCTTAATCTGGTTCAGACTGGCGCCCGGAGGAGCTTTGTTTGCGCCCGGAGGAGCTTTGTGTGCGCCCGGGTGCCCCTCTGCACATCACCATCTTTTGTTCGACGTGAGAAAGACTAAGTGGCTTAAAACGTGCAACTCATGAGAGAAAACCTCTTCAAAATAATCTCCACTATCAGAATATGTCGCCTTAAAATCACTCTTACGACGCGAGTGTGCCCTACAGACACACATATGAACAAAAGCGAAGGTGATGAGGGAGATCTGGTTCCTCTGCCTCTGTCACACTCACAGCATTCGCACTCTCACTAAATCTTCTTCAAACTGAGCTGAAGTCAGATGTTCTGCTGCAGTCTGTGGTTCTGCCCAGAGTCTGAAACAATGTGAGCCACATGAGCCACAGCAGCTCTGCCCTGGGCCAGCAGTGTGCAGAGGACCGACCATGTGCTGCCCCAGAGACTGACCACAGACTGATCACAGACTGACCACAGACTGACCACAGACTGAGACTGTAAAGACCCCATGAGGAGCAGAACTCACCTGGCCATTGGCTTTGGCAGCAGCAGGATCAGCCGCAGCTTTGCCCTCCACAGCGACATCTCCCCGGGACATACTGGCTCCCATGTTTCCTTTCTCTGTGTTCAACTCAAAACAAAATCTAATAAAAACAAAAACCCCGCAAAGAGTTTGAAGTGTTAAAAATCCAGTCCTGGGATGGGTGCAGGCGCCAGAGGTGAAAAGACCCCAGCGGCTCCCGGTGAGTGGAGGATGAGGCAGATCCTTCAGTGTGCGCGGCTCTCGGTGCTGCTGCTCAGATTAAAGGACGTGAGGGAGACGCGCTGACTTTTTCACCGCGCCTTGAAATCCAACACAAGCCCCGCCCACAGGAGGGACCGCCCGCTCTGCACCAATCAGAGGACGAGGGCTGGAGGTCCGCTCTAGTCAAATTCTTCTCCCAGTGACTAAAAACAAAACTGCGCAAAACTAGTCCTCCATGACTTTAGGTGGTGTCAAAAATATCATAAGCAGAATACACAGAGAAGCTAATATGTGTTATGGGGGTAGGAATAAATACGTTTTCTTCATCCTACTCCCTTTCAGGCAAGTATTTAGTTTTGTTTTTCCCTCCTTTTGCATGCTAGCAATACTTTATCTATTTTTGTTGGGAACTATGATGGACCTGAATTTGTGAAATGCCTGAATTTGATAAATAAGCAAACAAACATAGCTAACAGAGTACATCATAATAATACGGTCTATGGTTCTACTCTGTGCCATTTGACTACATATGACACAGAACATAGATTTGACTGAAGTGGTGAGGGATGTGTCCAAATGTCTAGTATAAACTCTGGTTACATAACAGACTGACCTCTGCAGCTTTGGAAACTGTGTCTCTGCTTTGACTCTACTTTCTCACAGCTGGACGCAGCCCACAATGCCCCACAAAAATCACTCACTCACATATTTTTGGGGTCTTGATATCTTGTTCCTCATGACATTTTTTAAAAGCTGACTCAAGAAAAGTCTTATACTCCGACAAGCCTTTTTATGTCTGGCTTAACTTGTGAAGACCCTAAATGAGATGTACACTTTGGTATAGAATTTACATTGCCCTGCGTGTATGCCTTTTTTAACCTTTTAACGTTCACTCTTTGAAGATAGCAATGTACTTTTACTTTTTTCTGATCTTCATGTTGTGTTTGTGAACCCCTATTTGTTGTGTTTATAGGTCTTTATCAAATGGTTGAGATACAGATTGATGGTCCAAGCTTCAGGTAGATATAGTGACTCAAAAAGTGTACATTTATTGTTTGTATTGAGGTAAATAATGTCAAGAAGAGTAGAGTGGAATCCCTAGTGTACATTTGAATGGTGTTTTCACGTGGCCTCATGTCCCTCGTCCTTCTAGCAGAGGACTATTAAGTTAAATTTACGATTCCTTTTATGAAAATGCCTTATCCCCTTGAAGCATCTCTTTGTACATCCATTCATCTCTTAGCTATCGCTGTTCCCAGAGGTTGGAGCGAGCACACGCACACACACACACACACACACACACACACACATGTCATAGGCCTGGTATGTGAAGCATGCATACATACGCCACCCTGAAAATGATCTCCATCTATTCAGAGTGGAACACAGCCTGGGGGCTTCCAACACCCCCATCCACTCACTAATCATCCCCAGTCCTCCACACATTCTCCCAAAGTGACTCAAGAATGCACTCAAATGGCTTTATTTACCGTGCAACAAATGAAACCAACTGAACATTTTTTGAAGTAAAGAAACATATTTGCAAACATACTGCAGAAATGTTTTCAACAGCAACAAAATAGATGAAACTCAAAAGTTCATTTAGTTCTCTAATTTTGTCTACAATGTGGAACTAATATATGGTTTAGACTCATTACACGCAAAGTGACACATGCCGAGCGCTTGATATATTTAGCTTAAATGAACTTCTGAACAATATTCTAATCTTCCAAGTTTTTATCAGTGCATCCGATCACAGCAGTTTTTGTGAAGTGAGTTTGGGGAGATCCTGGTTGAGGAGCCTGGTGCAGTTGGCGTCTACATATTGAGCTTGTCAGATTTCAAAGGCGTGTTTGATCCGGACACGAAAGGGCTGGTCTCTCAGCGGGGAATCCCTTCTCCCCGTGCAGGCTCTTGACCTCAGGGCCTGGGCTGAAGCAGGTTTACTAAAAGCTGGAAGATGATGGAAGACTTTGACATAAATATTCATCAAATTAAAGATAAGTAAGAGGTTTGGAGTTAGAGACTGATCTTCTTCATCTATGTTTCCTGTATCAACTAAAAGCCTCAGGCAGGTACAGCATCATCAGAGCGTTTAAAGTCTGTTTCCAAAGCATAAAGGACGCTCGGGTCCAAGAAAGAGCAGTGGAGCGAGCTGAGGGAAAAACTATGTACGTTTGTTAGATTAAAGGCCTTATTTAAGGACAACATCACACCTACATGCGCTGGGCCTTAGTTTCTCCTCGTGCTACAGTCGAATCACTTTCATGGAGTGAATAAATAATGCTGTGATGGGCCTTTGGACATCAAAAGCACTGTTTGTCCATCTTTTTGTGTTTCAATGTTATTGAGCTCAAACAATAACAGCAGTCTCTTGGAAGCACGACAAGAAAACGACAAGAAAGCACGGATACTGTAAGTAAGTCATCTTTATTTATATAGCGCCTTTCACAGACAGAATACCAACGTTACAATTGTTGTGGTCATGTCTCTCTCTCCACTCAGAGATGGTCGCTCCCATCTCTGTCGCCGTACAGGAGGCGAAAGTCAGACATAATGTACTTGTTTTTAGTGGTAGGGGAAACCGGAGCACCCTGGGGAAACGTACTCAGACCTGAGGAGAACATGCAAACTCCACTCAGAAAGGCCCCGTTCCGACCGGGATTCGAACCCAGGACCTTCTTGCTGAGAAGCGAGAGAGCTAGCTAGTTTCCTCCAAAAACATGTACAAACCTGTTCATGACACCTCTCTGGATCTTTGGGGAATCTAGAGCACTGTTTTGGTTGTTTCGAGACAAGCTGTATAGTATAGTATGTAACTATGGTAACGGTGTCAGTACTTTCAACTGAACTCGGACCCATCATTCCCCAGCGCAGTGTTAAAGCGCTCCTAACATTAACGTATACAGGATGTGTGTGTATTTGTATTTATGTGTTTTTTATTGAGATTTTTAGCATGTAACTCTCCGTGCATTTTAATTGCCCCTCAGGGATAAATAAAGTGATTGATTGATTGAACTCTTGTCAATCTCTACTCTTTAGAAGCGATCCCAGGCCTCCCCCACCCTTCGAAGACACACGCAAAAGCTGCAATTAAATGTATTTTAATTAATTCTTTCCAGACCTAAATCACAACACCCACCGTAACGACAAGAAGACACTGGTCCAAACATTCTCTGACCCTACATCTCTCTCTCTCTCTACTAGCTCCATGCTCAGGGCATCACTGTTGTTTGTTTACTAAGAGGAAGCCAGCATGTTGTGGTCTGATTTATTCACAAATCTAAATTAGACTCTTTCTGTTGGGAAACCAAACAAAATGCATCCATTAAACCAGGGGTGTCAAACTTCAGATCAGATTCAGATTCATTTATTTGCCATTTGCAGTAAAACCACATAGGAAAAACTGTGCAAGACTACCCCAGTGTGCACCAGACGACACACACCAGAGCTCTTGCCACGAGCAACTTGTTTTGGTTGAGGGCCGAATAAAAAAAGAAAGGGCGGGTCAGGGGCCAAAAAAATAAGTGGGTTTCATTTATTATTATTATTTTTTAATATGAAGGAATCTAAATAAATGACTCGTTTCACATTAGTTAGGCTGGATATTCTTTTCTGATTATAATTAGTTCAGTTTCTGTGGACTGAACCAAAACTGGACCAAATATTGAAGGTATAGGAAGATTTTCTACTTTTGGGTGGATCATCAAGACGATTGCTCCTCCCAAGTGTCAATCATTCTGGTGATTCGTGCTCGTCAAAGAAGACCACAGAGTTTTGTTCAAAAAGTGGAAAGGGCGGTTCTTTCCTAAGAAAAGTGGGAAATCCTCTAATCCTAATAATATCTCTAAAAAGAAAAGTAATTGAAGACTCGTAAAAAACACAACAAATTAAAACTAACTTCTAACGACATGTTGGCTTAACATTTCTTATGGAATTCATTTCAATGGTTGTTTTCTTAGTAATGGATAACATGTCATCATCGTCTAATACCATCAATGCTGCTATTTAATACAGCAATTTAAAATCATCTCAAGGGCCACTGGAAATGGTCTCACGGGCCGGACTTTGACACCTGTGCATTAAACCAAACAAAAAGTTGGGGACTCCAGCTTAAAATAGTTTTAATACCTCACAATCTGCAGTCTACAGTTGACTTTTTGCAGGCTGACTTTGCATACTTTTTGCAGGCATACTTTGCATACTTTTTGCAGGCATACTTTGCATACTATTTGCAGGCCTACTTTGCATACTTTTTGCAGGCATACTTTGCATACTTTTTGCAGGCATACTTTGCTGCATCACAATAAGCTCTGGGTTTCCTTGCGCAGCTTGAGTCAGAGGAGGCCTTAGCACTTCCTCTGTCCTACTCATTTCTCTCAAGTCAATCAGTCCCTCTTCTGCTCTTCACACTCGCTTGTCAATGGCCCAGTTTGTGCTTTTTAGACATTTCTCGCTCCCTCCAATCACACTCAAAGCCTTCATTGTCTCACCCTCAGCCATGCAGCAAAAGGATGAGCATCACAAGCAGAGGAGAAAGACGGGAGCGATTCCAAACTTGTCAGTATTCAGTCACCTCCAACAGATTACAGGAGTTTGCAGCTCGATATGCATATGTGGTTTCCCATGGTTCTGTTTCATCACGGTGCACACACAAGAACAGCACAAGGGCACGGGCACAACTTTCTGTGAGCTTAATATTGGACTATGAAAAATGAGAGAGAAACTTTTGTTCTTTTATATAAGTTATTCATATTGAGGGATTGTGAGTGGATTTATGCAAAACTGACTGGTACAAGACTACGTTCGGAATACAGAACTTTACTGAACATTCAACGACAAGTCTAAGCGGGACATTTGGAATT